GGACCACAAAAAAAAAAAAATGGAGGAACAACATGGCCCAGACAGCCAGGAACCAGGGCTGGGTTATTCCCATAGCAAGATGCTAGAAGCAGGGGCAGCAGGGATACAGAGGTAGGGCACAGCCAGGAAACTGACTTGGGAGATAAAGATATAAACTGAGACTCACCGAGGAGATACTGGTGTGGTTGGCCATCATGAGCCCACTGACCCGGTGGGCTGAGGGCAGGTAGGGAGACTTCCTGGATAGGGCCACCTGGATGCTGGCTGGGCCCCAAGGGATGAAGTTGGCCAACTTCCGTTCCCGGATCCTCTGCAGGCTCTTGTGGACCTGGGATACAGAGTGGTGAAGGTTGCTTCTCCTCTACCCTGTGGTCCAGGGGGTAGGGCGAAGGGGCCTCACGTACCTGGGTGGGGTCTACCTCTCCCTGGATGATGTTGAGGATGGCAATGTAGCAGTGGTTGGTCTGGCGGTCTCGGCCTGTGGATACCATCACATTCTTGGGCTGTAGCAGTCGCCTCATGACATCCAGGACTGTGGTCTTCCTCACACTGGCCACCTGAGGGGAAGTGGGTCACAGGGACCAGGCCAGCACTCAGAGCACAGTCCAGACAGGCACAGATAGCGAAGAGTAGTCAACACGTGTCACTATCAGGTTCAGAGAAGTTTCTCTGGGTAATGTCTTTAGATCAGATCTACCTTGAGTCTCTGCTCAAGGATCTCAGTCCTCCTCTGCTTAGCAAACTCATTCCCTTGTGCAGGAATAGAAGCTGACCCCATCCAGCACAGCCCCTGCAGGAGCTAAAGACCCCAAGGATGGAGGCAAGACAGCAAGTAGGTGGTGGCCAGTTTATGCCAGCCCCTGAGCAGAGGGCCTCTGAGGGCTGCACAGGGAAGGTCTTTGGACAGTGGACGGAATAGAAAGCTAAGGTCATGGTCTGCTGGGTTTAGGGCCAGCCTGGAGTGGGACACTGAGTGTTTTTCTTACTGACTGGTCCGTGGTGAGGGGGGTGTAGCCGGTCATGAGGAAGTGGAGCCGTGGTGTGGGAATGAGCGAGGCAATGAGGCCAATGAGGTCGTTGTTCATGTAGCCAGGGTAGCGCAGGGTGGTGGTGCTGGCTGACATGATGGTGGACACCTGAGAACAGGGATGTTACGTCACAGGCCTGGCCTGGGTGGGATCTTCCTCCCCTGATGGCCCTCCAACAAGAGGGCTTCCAGCTCAAAGGAGACCAGGAGTAGGGGCTTACCAACTGATTGATCTGAGAGAAGGATGGGTTCTGGATGTGCAGGCGGTCTGTGGCAATCAGGTTCAGAGCTGTGTTGTCTAGCACCACCTGGGAAGACAGAAGAGGGTTACAAGTTTATGAGAACAAGACATACAGAGTTCTGCCTAAGCCTAGGCTCTGAAGCCTTGAGCCTCATGGCCAGAAGGACCCATCCAAAAAGGATTTACCGAAGTCTAGGGGCAGGGAGGAGCTCAAAATAGACTTTTTAAATGCATGAAAAGAATTAGATGGGTGTTGGGAGTAGGGACAGATAGAATCCAAGACTGACCACACAGTCAGCATTCTGGGTTAGCCTTTTGAGCGTGAGGAGTGAGTTGTAGGGCTGGACCACCACATCGCTCATCTCATCCTGGTTGGGAAACACTGAGTAGGTCTGCACCAGCTTCTTGGGATACCTGGTGAGGTTGGGAGAAGGCAACAAATAGAGGTTTGGTGAACATGAGGCTTCTCGGCATATCTGGAAGCAGCTAAATCTGAATGGGGAAATTGGGATGAGGTGAGAAGATCAGTAGAAAAGGAAGACTTGACTTTTGAAAGTCTGTAACCCCAAAGGGGGGAGGGGAGAGACATCATAGGAATTAATATTCCAACTGTTAAACCAGGCCAAATTTTCCGTGGATCTTCAACAAGGGCCCAGATTCCAGGCCCTGGCTGCAACCACTTGGAGTAAGATTGGGTTTATTCCATTGTAACTTCACCTTCCTTACTATAGAAGGGGCTCTTTCTTTCTCCAGCAAATAGGGAGGTATGTCTGATGGGCCTTCTAGTCACTTAGGAATCCAAGTTGAAGCCCATGTCTCCTCCTAACCCCCAGACACAGACTTACCTGTCATTTAGACGCTCTAAGAGATAGGAGCCCAGGCCAGAGCCTGTCCCCCCAGCAATGGAGTGACACAGCACAAAGCCCTGCATGGGAAAAGGGCCATCAGTGTTTAGGTATGTAGTAGAAGTATTTTAAGTAGCCCCATCCCAAAATGTTTTGGACTTTTGTCTTCCTGAGCCCTTTTTTCTTGTCCCTTCATACATACAGCTTAGGAGATTCTGCCTTGTCTTCAGCAAGCCATGATTGCTTTTGTCCAGTGCAATGAATAAATGGGTGGGTCCTTTGCTTAACAGATGTCTCCTAAAGGTGTTGCCAACCCTTCTGTTAGGCCCCACCAACATTCCTGGGACACTCACCTCTAGACTGTCACTACCATCTGCTTCTCGATCTATGATGTCAAAAATGTCTTCGTGGATCTTTTCTCCCTATACAGACATGGAAAAGGTCAGAATAGGACAGGGCCATGCAACAAGGAACCTACCTCAGAATTGTCACCTTGATTCTCCTTATAGCACCTAAAGTCCTTCTAGGGACAGCCTTGTTCTCTATCTGCACTGAGGGAATACAGCACATTGGTTACAAACAAGCACTCTATCCCCACAAATTTTTGTATCCATAAGACCTATTCATGTTAGCACTAGTTGTTTTTGTTTCATAGTTCTGGGGAGAGAACCCAAGGTCTCACACATGCTAGGCAAGCACTCTAAACTATAGCTTTACTGTTAGCTGATTAACTCTAGAAAGATTACTTAATCTTTCTATGTCTTTTTTCCTCATCTGTATAATGAAGGTTATGATACAGGTCCATAATCCCTTATCTAAAACTCTTAGGATTCATCATATGTATTCTTTTTTGTGAGACTGAGTTTTGAACTCAGGGCTTCCTGCTTGCAAAGCAGGCCCTCTACTACTTGAGCAACATGTCCAGTCTAGTTTGCTCTGGTTACTTGGGGATGGGGTCTCACACTGTTTGCCCAGGCTGGTTTTGAAATGTGATCCTCCTGATCTCAGCATCCCAAATAGCCACCAGCTCCTGGCTCATCATGTTTTTGAACTCAAAATGTTTCAGATTTAGAAAGGCAGTTTGGCACATATAATGCCTATTAAAGAAAAGACCACAGGAGGGCTGAGGTATATTAATCAAATATATTAATATTTATGCCACGAAAGGTATGAGCAATGACAATAAATTGCATAGAAGCTATAAAATAGCCTGTCTCCATTGAGATTTAGTTTTGCTTCTAAACAAGTTAGGAAATGTCTTTTGGCTTCAGAGCTTTCTGGATTCTGGAAAATCGATAAAGAGACTGTAGAACCTTTAGTGTTAAGAAATTTACATGAGGTAATATATATAAAGCACTTAGAATGGTTTGGCACATAGCACTATTGTAGGCTGTTGTTTTTTGGTTTTGTTTTTTGAGACAGGGTCTTGCTATCTAACCCAGCCTGGGTCAGAGAGCTCTTCCTGCCTCCACCTTACAGGCATGTATTACTACCCTGGGCTCTACTGAAAGCTCTTAATGTTGCACAGTTAACTCTCTGCAGCTATAATTGTCTTCCTCCAGCCCTCATACATCGACTTGGTTTCACCTCTCTCTAGGAAGTCATAGGGCCTGTCCCCAAACAGGGAGTTGTGGGCCCTGCTGGGGAATAGCAAATGACCTGGGAGAACCCACTGGCCCAGTTGTTGCCAGCTCCTCCTCCATGCTCTGACAGGTAGATGTTCTCTGGGTTGTAGAGCTTGGCATAGGAGGAGTTGAGGATGGAGTGGATCACCCGGGGCTCCAGGTCCAGCAGCACTGCCCTGGGGATGTAGTGCTCATCGTCTGCCTGTCAAGAGGAGGACGGGAGGGGACCCGGTCAGCTAGAGTGGGTGAAGTCCTGAGTCCTCCCAACTGGGTCTCCTGCTGCCGCTCCCTCCCCAAGTCATCAACCCTGGACCCTCTGCCCAGCGGGTTTCCCAGTACCAGGACGCTGCCCTTCCCTTCAGGGCCCCTGGACTACTGCTGGCCCTGGTCTAGTCGCTGGTGGTGGGGGGGGGGCACCTGGTAGAAGAAGACGTCCTTGCGGTCAGTGCCCTCAGTGGCGAACTCCTCCACGATGCCCTCGGGGCTGATACCATGCTCGGCACACAGTTGTTTCCAGAACTCGAACCCAACTGGGGGAGAGGAGCAGGCGGGGGAGAAAGAAGATATCTGGGTCTGAGCAGGTTCCAATTAGCAGCTGGAGCACTGAGCGCCTGGGTTCAGGGGTAAAAAGTCTAGCCCCAGGTCTCTCCAGTATCTGAAAGGCTGCACGCTAACGACAGTACATAGGAAGGCCTTTTGGGGTTGGGCAACTGGATACAGGGTCAGGGATGTCCCGCCTTTCGGAGAACTACGATTCTGGGAAGAACAAATGGAATCTAGGACCCCACAGTGAGATCTCACTGAATCTAAGGAACTTGGCTAGCGGAGGGGCCGGAGGTTTGCTCACTCTGATTGCCGCACTGGCCCAACTGTAGGGTGATGATTTCTCTCGGCATTGCTCCTCAGGTACCAGCGTTGCAGCCGCTCCCGCCAGCAACGCCGCCGTTCGCCAGCCCGCTTGCCGCAAGACGCAGGCGCCAAACAACCCGCTCCACCCTCGAACTTTCTCCGCTCCAATGAGAACTGAGCTTAGAAGAGGCCACTTGTTATTCACTTGGCTTCAGCTGTGAGGATTGCGCGTGCGCAGCTCCGGATCCTTTTCGGCGTCTCAGTGCGGGGGGCGGGAGGAGGGAACGTATTTTGACGCAGCATCCTTCGCTTCCCCTCGGTGAACACGTGCTCAAGCCTGTGCGCATGTGCGCACGGTGAGAGCAGACCGTCCCAGTCAAATTTCGCATCTGCGCAGTTGGTGTTATTGTGACTGTCGGGCCGAGCGAGGCCCCGGATGTTGTGGCTGCCGTGGAGAGATGGCGGAGGCCGAGGGGGTGGCCGTGGCCCCAGGCCCAGCTTCAGGCTTGGCTTTCAGGGGCCGCCGAGTTATGTCCGCTTCCTGGGAGCGCGACCAGCAGGTTGAGGCAGCGCAGCGAGCCTTGGTGGAGGTCCTGGGGCCCTACGAGCCTCTTCTGAGCCGGCTGCAGGCAGCCCTGGTGTGGGAGCGGCCAGCCAGGAGCGCCTTGTGGTGCCTGGGGCTGAATGCGGCTTTCTGGTGAGAGAACTGGACCCTCAGAAACCCTCAAAGGCGCGAATTCGTCAGGTTTCTCTAGGGCTCTGCCTCTCGCCTGCCTTTTCTTCGCTGCACTGCTTCCTCCCTGTACCTGCTTAATTTTGCCTCACCTCCTTCCACTCCATCCCGCCTCCACGCTTTGCACTCCTGCTCTTACCAAGGCCTTCCAGCTGTCTCTCCACCCTTTCCTGAGCCCGCACATCTGGTAGGAGCTTCTGGTAGCATCTTGAGCGGATCGCCGTGAGCCAGGGCGCCTCTTGTTAGCTAGGGAAAGCTGTTTCAAGGCCGTCACTTCCTTTCTCGTGTCTGCTCAAGTGTGGTTTGAAGACTGTCTCCAGAAACTTCAGTAGTTATTGTGGTAGTGGAGGTATAAGGTCTTGAAGAGATGTGATAAGAAAACAGGCTTGAGCGGTTAGCATAAATTAGCATGTTAGATATTCTCTCACCTAGCCAAGAAGTTGAAATCCAGCGTGGACATCCAAAGCTGCAATTTGAAAGGAAATTATAAGCCTTTGAAAAACAGTTATGAAATAGTGATCGTGAGATCTCACCGTTTCAAAGCCACTTACGATTGCAGCGTCTGCCAGTTACGAGGCATTAGAAAGGCATCCTTAGCTAGCGTTTTATAAGCAAGGAAATTAACACTGTCTAATAGTGTGAATTTTCCTGAACTGGACAAATGACACTATAGATATGTGTTAAGTATATGTGACATGTCCTGGAAAAATGGAACTGCTGCTCCTCTCCTAAGTTGTCACCCAAAGACAACTTAGGTCTTCAAAGAATCTACCCACTGTAGTTTGAGTTTATTAATAACTAGAGAATTATTATTGATCCAGTTGGAAGGGAACAGATGCATTGAGTTGCTTCTAGAATGAAATAAGACTGTCCTGCATAAGTGACAGTGAGTTTTTGTTGTTATTTTTGCTAGAAATAGCTTCTCAAAATTCTTGGCTTTAAAATCAAAACATTATCCTTTGAAAAAACTTTCAGTAAATTGAAGCAGAACAAATAATTCCAATTCCATTGACTGTCAGTTCTCTGCCAGTTTGAAGGAAACCCAAGCCATGTCTAGCTTTTCTTACTTTCAGGGTCTTTAGCAAATTTGATGGTAAACTTTTCCTAGTACATCACTTTTTTTTTTTTTTTAATGGTGGTATGGATCAAACCCAGGACCTTGTGTTATGCATACTAGACTTGTGTCACTGAGCTACACATCCAGTCCTTACGACCTATTTGTGGTAATGCTTCTTCACCCCTAGGTACCACCTTCCCTCTGGTTTGTCACTGTAAAAGCCCTTCACTATAGCACCTCATTCAGGAGCATTTATCCAGGCAAAACTTCATTTCCCACAGGAGTACCCCTGGAAAGAAAGTTGTCCTCATTAAACCAGTTTTTTATTATGTGGGGTTGAGGTTTGTGTATGAGGAGCTGCTCTGAATGAGACATATCTTTAAATGAAACAGTAAACTTTCATTTGCTGACTCCAAACAGTGTTCACTAAGTAAACTATGTTTAGAATCTCACTCAGAACCCCCTTTTGTACTCTGGGTCTCTTTATGGCATTGTTGTGATTCTTTTTTATCTCTAGCATTTCCTAGTAGATTGACCTGTTGTGTATCCAGAACACAGTTACGCTTGTTACATTCCCATCACACTCTTAAGAAGGTGGGAGAAAGAGAGAGCAAAATGAAGGTGTGACTTGCGACAGAAAGAACAGTTGCTGTGGCATTTTGGAGAGGACCGGTAGTGTTAAGGGTCCAGGTAGTGTTAAGGTTCTGGAGACTAGAGTATTGGAATTGGAATCCATAGAATTGTTTGGGGGAAATGAGCGTCTTTGGAAAGTAGTTGAGGTTTAAACTGAAAGTCAGACCTCACATACTATTAGTATCTTACTGAATATGTGAGTGTTGACTTTTCGCTTAGAAATGTGGAAGAATGTTTAGTTCTCAGTCATTTTAAATGTTTAAGATAGGAAAGAGGATCAGCAGCTTAGGTTAGAAAAATCATATCTGAATTACTTAATTTTTTCTTTCATTGTCTGTTAAGAATAATGGTACAGCATTAACAGATGTTTTATGCATTTTGAGATATTAAAAGATTAGACAGTAGGCCAGATGCCAGTGGCTCATGCCTGTAATCCTAACTATTCAGGAGACAGATCAGGAGGATGGAAGTTTGAGGCCAACCCGGGCCAATAGTTCGAGAGACCCTGTCTTGAAAAAAAAACTCTTCACAAAAAGGTTGATGGAGTAGCTCAGGGTGTAGGTCCTGAGTTCAAACATCAGTATCGAAAAACAAAACAAAAGATTGGCTAGTAGTACCAAAAAAGTTATCAGAATTCAGGTAGGTAGCTTTTCACTTTAGGTGTTTTATATTCTCAGTCATGGTTTTTCAGGGTTTTTTTTTTTTTTTTTTCTTTTTTTGTACTTGTGAATGTGTCCCTTTTCACCTTAAATAGGTAATTAAGAGAGATCAAGTAAGTAGCTTGTCACCTTAATTTTCCAAGGCTTTCACCCTCCCACCCCTCAGGTTCTAGAATAATGGTGGCCATATCAGAGATTATTCATCCTAGTTTACTTTTGGCCACTGATCTGTTGTTACCTTAGGATAATAATAGCAATCTCAAGCCTTCGCTGCTAGTAGCTTGTATTTTCATTAGCCTCAGTTCCACCTGATGTAAATGAATGATTTGGGGGACGAATATGAGAGTCAGCAAGAGTATTTCCTGACAGGATCAGAGAAGAACAGGTTGCAATCACTTTTTGGTTTGACTCATAGAAGATAAGGGAGGGTGAGGGTAAATGAACCCTAGAAATGTGTGAATGCTTCAGGCTCCCTGAATAGTAGAGAGTTCAAGGAGGGCTAGATGATTCCTGAGCTCCTTTCTAGCTTTTAACATTGTGATTCTAGGTGGTCCTTGGAGATACTGATTGAACACAATCTACAAGCCGATTCTCTGTTGAGATCTCTGTTGGGATCTGCTTTTACAGTCACTAAAGTGAGTTCACCATACTATACTTTGGGGAGTCATTGTAGAATCTGTTTTTACAAATTAAAACAATGTTTCCCTTTCTCCCTAAAAAAATGACCTGGGAAGTGATTAAGGGTATACAACAATTCTGGCTTAAAAGGTTAAAATGGTTAGAATTTGAGTAAAAAACAGTGAGGAGGGCTGTGGTTGTAGCTCATGTGGTAGAGCTCTTGCATAGGATCAGCATATACAAAGCCCTGGGTTCAATCCCCAGTACTGCAAGAAAGAGAGAGAGAGGGAAAACAAACAAACAAACAAAACCAAAAAACAGGAACAGCAAATGGGATGGAGGGCTTATTTTTTTATTAAAAAAAAGTCTGCACATCAAACTTTAGATAAAATCAGTTGAACAAATGTTTCTAGTGATAGTCTTTGGAGGGATCTTATTGATGTTTTTGGTAGCCAGGAAGACTCCCAAGGATGTCTTGGTTAACTGCTGCTTTTTGCCTTCAATTTTTTCTGTCCTAAATTGTAAGAGGGTTGGTGTTTTCTCTTTATTAGCATATGGGTAGATCATTAGCAGCTAGCTGCATGCAGCAACTATCATTACACAATGCAGGTTGACTTAATTTTTTTCTTTTTAATTTACCAGTGACTGGCTCATTAACCAGACAGTCACAAGTGCTGTATAATAATGGGCTTACTGTCCCTGTAGGATGGGAAGCTTTGTTCTGAAGTGCCATTGAAACAGGCTTACTCTGTTATGACCAAGGAAGCTAGAAATAGTATATTTTTTGATTGAAAATAGACATGTAGTCATAATTCATGACTTTGTGTGTGTGTGTGTGTGTGTGTGTACACAAACATGCGAGTGTGCTACTTATGATTAAACCCAGGACTTCATATATGCTTGTCAAGTGCTATTATTTCTGATTATAGCAAACTCTAATTTAAACCTCTATGGATAATGAGGATCCATGGCATAGTTAACCTCAAAAAGATTATGTTTTTTTCTAGACTTTCTGATTGCCTTTTTGGAGACCAGATTGTTATTGCAAGGAATATTTTATTTAACTTGAGGATTTAATTGGATTTTAGCCCCTGACAAAGTGAAGAGACAGTATACAAAAGGGAAAAAAATTAATGGATATATAAAATTTCATTCTCACTAGAAATGAAAATAATTCAAATATATGTGTTATTAATTTCTGCTCAAGTTTTTTGACAGTACTGGGGTTTGAACTAAAGACTTTGTGCTTATGAGGTGGATGCTTTACTGCTTGTTTAATGCCTTCTTCCAGGGCTGGAGGGAGTAGGGAGTGATTGCTAATGGGTATGGGTTTCTTTTTGCGTGATTAAAATACCCTAAAATTAGATAATGGTGATAGTTGCAGAGTTCTGTGAATATACTAAAAAGCCATTGAGTTACATAATACAAATTGGTGAGTTTTACGGTAAGCAAACTATATCTCAATAAAGTTGTTTTTAAAAAATTAATGCCTCTTGACCTAGTATTCCACTTGAAGTAGTTATCATTGGTGAGTACAAAGATTTATGTTTAGTGTTGCATAGTTTGTTTTTTCTTTATTACATCAAAAATTGGGCCTGGGCACCAGTGGCTCACACCTATAATCCTAACTATTTGGGATGCTGAGATAAAAAGTATCATGGTTTGAGGCCAACCTGGGCAAATAGTTCATGAGACCCCCCCATTTCCACAAAATGACGAGAGCAAAATGGACTGAGGTATGCCTGCTTTATAAGCATGAAGCCCTGAGTTCAAACCCCAGTCCCACCAAAAATAAATAAATAAATAAATAGAGTAAAATAAAATAGGCCAGTCCTGGGGAAAAAGTGAGACCCTATCTCAAAAATAACCAGAGCAAAAAGGACTGGAGGCATAGCTCAAGTGATAGAGCACCTGCCTACTGTGAAGCCCTGAGTTCTAACCCCAGTACCACCAAAAAAGGAAAAAAATAATTGGGCCCAGGGACGCAAAAAAAAAAA